GGTTGGTCCAGCGAGTTGTGTCCGTGGCGTCGTCCTTGGTCCAGGTGCTGTGGGCGACGCGAATTCGAAAGTAGGCGGCGGAAAAAACAAAAGGCTACGAAAACGGCGCGCAGTCCCGGAATCGAATTTCGAAATTCGAATTCCCGTAAGCGAATGACGGCGGCGTGGGTGTCCCTTGCGGCTGACGGCAGCAACGTTCGTCGGCAGGACCGTTTGGTTACGGGGTGGCGGCTGCGTGGCTTCTGCTGGCACGCCGAACGTCCATGAATACGTCCGAAGCAGCAGGCACGCCGTCACACGATCGCCACCGTTGTCTACTTCGCTACGCGCACCTTCGTTGTCGACGTGTACGCCGTGCACTCCGGTTGTGACGACGCAGCATCGCTGTTGTTCCCACTGAAGTCGAGCCTTCTTCACTTGGCGACAACGACCGATGGACGTGAACGGGGACGCGGTCCATGACACACTCAACAAGGCGGAGAGGGTCGCTGTGGCAGCGACCGTGAACCTGATCCTCATCAGGTGTCAATTGCAGAGGACCGAGGGGAGGATGAGAGCAGCCATTCGTGCACGCCGGAAGAAGACGCTGCAGTCCATGCATGTGGACGAAGAGGGCAGTGGTGCCATTTGCAACGCCGTCTTGCAGGTGTGCTACGCCATGGGGTGTGGAGCATTTCCCAGAGTGACGCCCAGGTGGTGGATGAAGCGACGAACAGGGGGGGTGTGGGAGGACCTGCGGCAATGCGACGACGCGACGGAAGACTACTTCAAGGAGAAGCTGCGCATGTCGCCACGGGTGTTCCGAGCGTACGTGTGACCCATCCCCTGCAGATGCGCATCCTGATCACGTTTAGCCCGGATGAGGGCTATAATGTCGTCGACGGACCAGAAGTGACGACCTCCTTCCCCATCGATGTCACCTTCGGCATCGCTACCCTTGCCCGCCGCCCTTTTGCCCCGACGACCATTGCCCACACACGACTTCGTCTTCCCGCCCCTCCCTCCCACAGCGGCCGCCTGCTTCGACGGCGAAACGTAGCCTGCGTCGTCCTCCCCACCTTCAGTGCCGTTGTCGTTCCAGTCGGGGTCGTGCGCGTACGCCACTGCTTCCTCGCCGTCATGTCCGTCTTCCCCAACACGCAATCGCTGCACCCCTCGAGTTATGGACTCCTCCCACCCCGACCGCATCAACTGTCGCTGTTCTGCCCACACCTCCCTCCCGTCACGTGCATCACCAACATCAGCGATGCCACGCGCCGTCTCCCCGCACTTGCCAAGACGGTGGCCTGCACTCGAACCGGCGGACAAGAGAGACGGAGACTGCATCCAGTGGGGGCGAGCGGAGGCACCCCTACACACAGACGGCGACCGAAATTGCTGCCTCGGAGGATCCGTGTTGTTCCCCGAAGCCTCCCGCAGCGGCGCTGGAGACCTGGATGTTGTGATCTGTTATCTGAACTCCATTGCATACCCTCCAAAAAAGAAAGAAAGAAAGAATACCCTCTCATCACAGGGGCACATGAAACAAAAAAAAGAAGAAGTGAACGAGCATTGCAGCCTCATGTTTCTCATGATAATGGATTCCTTGCTTCCTCTCCCCCCCCAACCCCCTCCCCCCAAAAAAAAGAAGTGAATGAATAAAAGTTAAAGAGGTCAATGAATTAAAAAAGAAAAAAAGTGACCTTCTTGAGTTATGCATTGTCTGTGACTCTGACAAGGTGGAAGACCTGCGGCACTGCCTGCTGCACTGTCGAAAAGCCCGAACAAATCTGGGAAAGAACAGCTACCATCCTCCACTCCTGAATAGAACTCTCGGTCAATATGCCCTGCATCTGGACCGAAAGTTGCACAAAATACGGCTATATATACCGGGCGTTCTATTCAGGCGAAGACACCCAGTTGGCCGATGGGAGGCAGTTACAGGTACGCCCCTTCCAGAACATGAACTTATGAGGCTGACAGCCAGTGACAGTGCTTTTTGCTCGACCGACCGAACGGGTGCGAAAGATGTGAAACTCTTCCACCTTTTTTTTTTTTTTTTTCTGGTACTAAGAAGAACATCCTCTATGGGCGATATGGAAAGGGAGATCAAAGTATAATAAAAAAGATAAAGGCCGCAGTGCCGCAGTGGCGGCAGTGCCCCCGCGAGTCTGGGTGGAGGGTTCATACAAGATCTGGAAAACGAGTACTACAAAGACAGGGACAAAAGAAATGAACATGAGAGGGAGATAAAGAACAGCCGGGAAAAGAAACAACGGAATGACACAAAACTGAGAAAAGTTTACTACGGGTATATTAAGGCTCAGGCAAAGTAAAAAAAAAAAAAAAAAAAAAAAAAAAAAAAAAAAAAAAAAAAAAAAAAAAAAAAAAAAAAAAAAAAAAAAAAAAAAGGCTCAGGCAAAGTTGGGGAAATAAAGCGCTGAATGGCTAAAATTCAAGCCGGGCAGAATGCTGTTAACAAAAACACAACCACCAGATGAACATAGGGACTTCATTTCAGAGCATGCCCGCCTCCTGCACTGTCAGCGTAGCCCCAACATAAGTAGTGTCTCAACCCGGAAGAAACGAAGAGACAATGGACAATTGAGGGGGGATGTGCGAATTGCAGTGAGAAGGACACCACCGCCCGGAGCAGAAAAACATCAAGGAACACCCACCAAACCACATATATATTGACACATAACGATGAACTAGAAGAGCTCAATTTGCGAAACAAACTGCAAAAATTAAAAATTAAAAAAACAAGACAAACATGAAGGGCACAGTGAACCATTCATTTTTCTCATTCTTCGTTTGACTCCTCTTTCACCGTGCCTCTCATATATATATATATATATCGTCAAATAGAACTGCCCGGTAAACCGTAGGCAGAGAGGGAGAAGAGGACAACAAACGAGGGGCTGTGACAAACTGTTTCGTCGGAGTTTCACCGACTCATCAGGAGGATACATATATATATCGTCACAAACAGAACTGCCCGGTAAACCGTAGGCAGAGAGAGAGAAGAGGACAACAAACGAGGGGCTGTGGCAAACTGTTTCGTGACGGGAGAGAGGGGTAGCAGGACAATCCCAGGTTTTAGGGTTTCAGCAGGCAGTACGGCAGAGCCGGACTGACAGGGATAAATTGGTCCAACCTCATGGCATGTCTATCTAGGAGGCGGTAGCATGACGGGAGGGAGGGAGGGGGTAGCATGACCGGAGGGTGGGTCACCAGTCTGGAAAGAAGTGGGCAGAGCGGCAGTCAATCCTTGCGAAACGAAGCAATCAGTGCTATCCTCAGGCCGTAGCGTGGGGAAGAGTTCAAGAGTGGTGTAGTTGGTTATGACTTGCCAGTTGAAAAGGAACCCGACTGACGCTGCCCAGAATACAAGGAGCTAGGCTCAACAGCAGCAGTCATTCCCCCTCCCCCCTTCCCCCGCCCCCCACCCCGCCACCGAAAATGAAAAAGAAGAAAAAGAAACAGTGCATTTCTTCTCTTCCTGTTCTGTTACTCACGTGAAACTACGGTTGCATCCTATGCTACAGCGCAATGTGTGTCACCAAAATGGTGTGAAATCCTGCAACGCCTGCAACTATCTTCTCAAAGGACAAGTCGGCGAACACCTGTTTCCAAAGACCAGACAAAGGAGGAGAGGGAGAGAGAATGGGAGGAGGAGGTAGCAGAAGAAGAAGAAGAAGAAGAAGAAGAAGAAGAAGAAGAAGAAGAAGAAGAAGAAGAAAGGAGGAGAGGCAGAGAGAATGAGAGGAGGAGGTAGAAGAAGAAGAAGAAGAAGAAGAAGAAGAAGAAGAAGAAGAAGGAGATGGAGGAGAAGAAGGAGAAGGAGGAGAAGAAGGAGGAGGAGGAGAAGGAGGAGAAGGAGAAGAAGAAGAAGAAGAAGAAGAAGAAGAAGAAGAAGTAGAAGGAGGAGGAGGAGGAGGAGAAGGAGGAGAAGAAGGAGAAGAAGGAGAAGAAGGAGAGAGAAGAAGAAGAAGAAGAAGAAGAAGAAGAAGAAGAAGAAGAAGAAGAAGAAGAAGAAAGAAGAATAAGAAGAAGAAGTAGAAGAAGAAGAAGAAGAAGAAGA